TAATAATGATAATGACATGACTTTTTTCGGGAATATTGTTTATTTGCGCCCGCGCTCGGGCCGCAAATGACACTACACGGGCGCAAATAAACAATATTCCCGAAAAAAGTCATGTTATTCCCTTATTTAATAACATGCCAGGCCTAATTTTTTTTTTTCGTATTATGTCTTGTTGACTTTTTTTTTAACAATTACCTTTCCTCGTCGTTTAGAGAGGCCATGAAAGGATGAAGAAGCAAACCTCTTTTAATCAGTAGGTGACACCATTGGTTGTTTTTTTGCTAAATTTGTAAATCAATTTTTGAACAATCAAAGATCGTTTGTCACGACATATACGAGAAGTTAGACGGTTGAAATCTAGATGGAACCTGGTAGTGTTGTAATGATGGTTGTTCTATTCAGGTTAACGGAAATTTAAGAACCTGGTAGGGTATAAATATAGCTTAATAATTTCAAATTTTGTCGTTTCAGAAGTTTTTATTATATATCTTCAGCCCCTTTCATGAAAATTTCTAGTCATTGTGTGTTTAGTTTTTCTTTGAAAAAAACAGAAGGAAGGGAAATATGAAGACTTTTTAGACTTTCCCAATAGATTTTTTCCAATGAGAAATAAAATGTAATTTGGTCATTGCTATAGTGATTCCTAATACGTATTTCACTTTGTCAACGGCATTTTCGCACTATACAATAATTAAAAACCTAAACCAAATTGACTATGAAGGAAAAAAGTTTGATGAATGCTTCAAGTTTTAATCCAAACACCGAATATTTTTTCAGTTATTCGCCTGTTTTACACCAAGTCAACACAGTATTTTCTTACCCGTCAGGGTAGGGGAAGGTAAGGGGGTAAGGTAAGGGGGGAAGGGGCACCCCAGTTAGATTGTTTTCCTTGGAGAGAGAAGTAATGTATTTTCTTAACCTTTTTACCGCCAAGAGTTACTAGCGTCGATTATCTCAAATGTTCTCACTGCTAATCATACAGACTGACGGAAAGTTGTAAAGAGTTGATGGATCAAACGTGGACTTTTTTACAAGGGTCTAACGACCGATCCATTTTTAGACATTTTTATGGTGATTCTAGTCGTGACAAAGAGTCGTTCAGTAATCGAGGACAAATACTCGATTTGTTCTCCTCCCCTTCTCCATCACTAGGCGAAACGGGAAAAAAGTGCAGTCCTACCTAAATCGATTTAAGAGCTTTGCTTTACCATGAAAAGCAAATGTTCGACTTGAAAATTTCGTGTATCAACTAAATCATTGAGCTCACTGGCTCAATCGGTTCCATCGGTTAACTAAAATCTGCGCTCCCACGAGAATCATTCGGGATCATCCTGTTCCATTCAAAAGTAAATGTCACGACGACAAAACATTCACAGCCATGATTGGTGAACCTCATATCATGGGAGCCTCCTTGTTTCAGTTTGTCATTATTTTTTAATTCAATACTTCTCAAGCTGGTGAAATATTCTGAGATCTCTGGGTCATATTATCATTCATTGCCCGGTTGTCGCGGTTTCAGGGTTTTCTTCCCAATCAACCAATCGAAACTCAGGCTCTTACCCCAATGCTGATCAAAATCAAAACGGCCGCGTCTATAGTGGAGAACCTCTTATTCAAACTGAGACGATTTGGCGAGGCAACCGGCCACCAAAGGGCTAAGTTAAGGCGTTATTTATTTTTATTTAATCTCTTATTTATTTTTTTTTTCACATAGTTGACTGCTCAAGATAGAGTTCTTTAAAAAACTAGTATTATTTAACTTTTTTTCTAATTTAACAATCAACTTTTTTGTAGTGCATCAAAGTCTAACACAGAGAAAACCTAATTTTGAGATGAATTTCGCGTCTCAAAATAAATATTTTGTCCGCGTTTCGATGCAGGTGCGCGTCACAGCGCAGCTAAACGCTCACTGTAACATTATAAAGGTTGTAAATCCTAAAGACCGCTAAATGTGCGGTATTACAGAAATGCGCCTCAGTGCCAATGATCCTTGTATTTACCACAGTAGAAAAGTGATTGGTGCATTGCTACGCTCCTTTCGAAAAATTATGTAATTTTTTTTAGTGTCGCAACTCATTCCAATTCCGCGCAATAGTCGTGCTCTTTTGGGTGCCATAAATTTCACTTGGTATGCTGAACTTCCTGCAGAAAGATATTTTCCAGATTTTTTCGTTCATAATCACGCCCTTATGTATTGTCAGGCCATGTCAGGCTTTGGTCACATGAAAACAGTTATTCAGCTGCGTCGTCGTCAAACTCAGATTTTCCAGCAAAGTAAACGACAGTTTTAGACAGGAAGGTCTGCAGATACTCTAATGACAATTAAAATTTTAATTAGAGGATTCTTTGCAACAATAACTCTTTTGAATATGAAAACGATATTCACAGCCGATAACTCTTTTATCTAATTCTCATCGCTGTCGTAGTTTTACGATTGATTCACAAAACAGTTCATATGTAGTTCATGTAGAATGCATCACGGTATTTTTGGTTTTTTCTTAAGGAAGTGATCCTTATCAAGGAAGTGAGACAAGCTGTAAAGATGACAACCAGACGCACGATGTTAGCCTTTCTGACGAAGACGATATAGTCATCTAGAGGTCAAGGAGATCTTCTAACGTACGAGCGCATTCCAATCCTAGCCCTGAAGAAAAGACGGCAGTGAGGGCAAAGGATGGTGTCAGCAGACAGTGGCTTGCTTACCCTTGACTTCATGGCCTGTCTTCGCTTCCCAGTTGCATTAGTTCTGTTGGCCTTTTGTTTTTCTGCACTCTTGTGAACAACCGGACGCTACCTGCGTTTGGTGAAAATCATGCTACTAATGCACAGCTGTATGGTTATAAAGAAAATTCAAAGTTTGCCCTCCTGCCTTCCTGCGATCTGTCGTGTCTTCTGATTCGACTGAACTTGATAATCTTGTGGTAAAGTGCTTTCAATTTGATATGTATACAATTACTCCCAGAGTTGCGAAAAGTCCATCGAATCACAGGTAGAGGCCGAAATTATTTAAAATTCGTAAAACTTTTGGTTTCTCTCTGCTTTGTTTCATTACAAAGCGACATCTTTGATGTCTTTCTGAGGGGCCTGAGTATCTGGTTTTGGAACATCGCCTTGAGTACGACAAACGGACAAACCTTTGGTGTCCTTAGCTTGTACTTTGTAGTTAAAAATTTTTTGTAACCCAAGCAGCTTGGTAAACGCTACGGAATACCTGGAACTTCTCACACAATAAATGTAAGGATTGATCGAGGAATTACAAACCGACAAAGTCTGAAGAGGAAAGAAAATTTTCATGAATGTTGCATGATCCAAATTCTTGGGGAGAACGTTTGGAACGATCAAAAGAGGAAGCCAGCATAGAGCTGCAACCCCTAGAATGGTTGCAATGGTTTTTGCAGCTTTTCTCTCTCGGCGTCTGTTAGGAATTCCAGCGTCTGTTGATTCTCTTTGTGTCTGCACCATTCTGCCTTCGAGTCGTCTGGCGATGAGAAATATGTAAAAATAGATCGATGCTGTTCCAACGAGGACCAGGACGAAATAAATGGCCATGTATTCTTTTGGAGCAAGGTCCTGTGTCCAGACTGTTCCATAGGATAACGAAAAAAACCAGATGCAGATTATGGTGACTTTGGCTCGAAATTTAGTCACTAGGAAATCATACTTCAAAGGGAAGCGAATGGAAATCAGGCGTTCCACAGTTACTCCAAACATGTTTGAAATGGATGCAATCAGTGAGATATGCCCGAGAAGACTCGTTATTTCCGAAAATGCTACAATCCCGGAGACTTGAATCAAATGTGTGACTTTGTAAGCTTGCAAGGGCTGAAAGATTGCTGTGACAAGAAAGTCAGACAACGACAAGCTAAAAATAAAAAAGTCAGGAATTTCTCTCAAATAATCAAACTTGATGATGGAAGTTAAGACTAATAAGTTCCCAAGTGTTCCAAGAACACTGGCGACGCCCAACACGGTGCACAGAATCACAGCTTGTGTTAGTTCAAGAGTATTTCGTTCTTCAAGGGAAGTGAATTGACTTGTGGGACTTGCAGGACTCTCCACGGTTACGTTCAAAAAATACGGTTCGTTTGCCGACATGTTGGTCTTGTTTTCTTGTCAAAGGGCTCAGTAGTCAGACTGCCAAAAAGCAAAAGCAGTGGTATCATGATCAGTAAGTAAGAATGAATTTCGTTTCGACCATTATTACTGTGTTGAAGTTGCAGCTCAGTATTACTAGGTGGAAGTTGTAATTTAGATGGCCTTTCAATAAGGGAAGGATAAACTCAAGGAGCAGGATATTATTAATTAACAATTATTCACCGAGGTGGAAGTAAAATAATTGTTTTAGTATATACCGCACAGATACAAAAAAAAAAATAGTTCATTTCTTTCAATATACCGAAAAATGGTCGGAAATTAAACCGTTGACGCGCGATTTTGTCTTATCTGCTGCTCAGAGGGAGAATTGTACTTGTTATTCACTTCCGAACGAGCCAAACAGCGCGCGCGAAAAGCACTATTTACTTGTGTGGTAAAGACTAAATTGAGATATCATCATGAGTCAAAATAAAGCCTTAAATGATAACCGTAGGACTGAGTTAGGGAGGATAAAAAATACTGAATTATTTTTCCTGTTCGATTACGTAATAACACAGACAGTACAGGCTCAATGTACTATCTGCAGTACACAAGGTATTATGGAACAGGATTTGTATGAGAAAAGTGGATGGATCGTAACACCGTCAATATGTCCTGGATTACACCGGCTAAAAATCAGCTTACCTCTTCTCACTGAGTTGTGCAACCCTTTTCCCTAAAACGAATCCCTACGTTTCCTCTGTTGTGTAAGAGCGTAATAGCTGCTTGAAGTAATAACTGCAGGTGTTACGCTATTGTAGAGGACTTTCCTATATCTATATTACATTATAAGTTCTCAACACCCACGAGACCTACTGTAAACGTGACTACTTTTTACAATCTCTATGACACGAAGAGTTATGTGTGTTGAAAATGAGTCTAATTCTCTGAAAACTCGAGTTGCAAAGATGAAATTAAACTGCTAATTACAGAGAATTGACCATGTTTCCGATGCGTAAATGTCACGCTGTGACTGTAAATTAAATTAGTTATATGTTCTTTGACTACACTGAAAGACATATAGCAACGATGAAGAAAACGTCACAATTTGTTGTTTTCAATAAAATACAACTCCTGGTCTCAGTGCTCAGTCGCGTTATTAAATTGAAAAAATCAAGGAACCAGCGATCTTCACAATGAACAATGAAATGACGTTACCATAAAGCGTCCGTAAGACAGATTTGATTTAAGTCACTTTTCCATATAAATTAATGGTAATCGACTGAATATTTTATGCGACAGTTTTAGTTGCGTGATTAAAAATAAAGTTAGGAGATAAAATTAAAATCTTTCCCTTTATCTTATGGGTAGCTTTTCGAAAAAACTTTCCAAGGAAAACTCACTGGACTAGAATCTCCCTGGACCTCTTGTAAACAACATTTCAAGATCAAGGAGATAGTTTTTCATGGTTGGGCGGAAGGTCTTTGTTCCGCTCAGCTGGATATGCGTCACACGATAATAAGAATGCAATCGCTTTCTGAGGATCTAAACTCTACACACTGTGGGTAGACGAACACAATTGCATTAAAACATTCATTGTTATGTCAGATGAGCCTGTTATTGATCGTTATTAAGATCATATCATCTCACTTTTGGTAATCTATTACGGAAAAGGAAAATTGTCTTTGCATGATCAATAGGTAATTTAACTTAAGAAGGTTGGCTGTAAGAATACTTTAGTGAATTTCCTTTCTCGAAAGTTTGGTACCATAACTGATAAAAAATGTTAATATAATTTTACTTCAATAAATGAGGATTTTTAAGCCTTTGGAAAATTCTGACTCTTATCACTGAATAAAAATTCTACATGTAGGAAGCCTGATAGCTGTTTGATGACCTTGGGGTAAAGATGAAACATCTGATGATATGGCATACCCACTCGTAGGACTGAGACTATGAAAAAAATACTACTACACACTGAGCAGTTATCATAGGTTGCACCACTTATTTTAACACAAGACTAAATTTTAAGTAATGGCACAGAACTACACTGCTTGCCTATAACAAACTTATTAAGGTCAACAATCAGTCTGATAATTGTGAAGAGCGTGGATATTCTCTCCAACGAACACTGAACATGTTATTAGAAAACTGTTTACTGGAACAATGTAGATGATCGAAAGGATATCCTTAATTAATCTTAAAGAGGAGAAGTCTTTATTCAATCGTAAGTACTACGGAAAAAATTATAAAACAGCAGTTATAAAAGCCAGATCTTCACTTATGTTGGGAGCTAGAACATAATTTAAATCTCTGTCTTCAACGCCACAAACATAGAGTTGCTGGTGATTTACGAATTTGAAACCTACGAGGAGTGCAAATGTGGATCGCAATAGCCGTTTATTTCGTAATCCGAACCAACAGTTTGTTCGTGCATTCGTCATTTTTGATTATGGCTATCAGCGGCGTTCACCGCAAAACAATTACAAATTGAAGGTCACCACTGAGTGACAGGTGATTTTTTAACAAGCAACTATTATTGACAGAGATAAAGGTGTCATTTTATCCACGGAAAATTTGGAAAGTATTGTTTACTATGACGTTGTTGAAAGAGAAATGAAAAGAACTAAAAAGTGCTAACAATCATGCATGCGTTAGGGTGCGTCGAGAGTTTGGAATAAAACGTGCGCGTGGAAACTCACAATGTAATGATGAATTTGATTTTAGAGCTATGCTAATAAAATTCGGATAATATCAAATAAAAGCCTGATCACAAACCAAGATTTCTTTCAGACTGTATTCCTTCGTTTACAAACTAATAGGACTAGGGCTTCGCGCAACTCAAAATGCCCTTTTAAATTGGAGGATCATCCGGTAATATTTCTCCAAAGATATTACCCAATTTCAACCTTACATGCAATTCGATGTAAATCCTCGTTTGACGTTCAATAAAAAATGTTAACGCGTTCTGTTTTTGTTTAAAGAAGAACAGACAATTCTTTTTGCTCATTAAGTCAAACGAGAAAACACGGGAAAGACAACATCCCACACGATAAGTTTTTAGCAGCTGTCTCTAGCCGTTTGATCCCGCGCATGTAAAAGTACTTGAATCGTCCAAATTCGATGCTATAAACAGGCGGTGTCTGCGAGAAAATATCCTAACATAATTTTCCAAATGGAGGCAGCTGTTTATGATACTAGGTCTAATTTTGCAGATGCCCTCAATGCATAACAAGGTTTCCCTTATTTCTTCTTCGTTTAAGATGTGAAGCAATATTCCGCCCAATTAGAATCTTCCTGTCGCCCTTGCGGGCCTTTTTCTTAAAATGAACAGATAAGTATCAGACGAACATAGGTTATATTCAGAAAAAGCAAATCCTGTCTTTATCAGTGATATTTTCCTTTGTACTGCAAAATCGTCAGAATTGTACAGCGATTTTGCTCAGCTGAGTTCATTACACCGCAAATTATTCCTACCTGTTATATCTGAAAGGTATAACTAAATCAGCAACATCGACTTGAATGATGAGGAATTCGGGCAAAGTCAAATTAAGCAGATACTAATGCGGTCGTTTTATCATTAATTTTTTTAATTTCGTTGAGTCATTAAGCCTCGATTTTCTTACCGTAAATTAGAGAATTTATTCGAGATACTCGTATTTTAACATTTTATAGGCAAGCTTCAAGTCACTTAAAAAAGTAAACATCTTCGTTTGGTAAACCACAGAAATCTTCAGCAATAAATATTTTGGGGTTTAAGTAATAAAAGCTGACAAAAATAAATAGTTAACAAAAAGCGTTCCCGCTATATTATTTCGGTATAACTTTGCTAAAAAAATCTACTTTACCTTTTCCAATAGATTCCTTCTGGTTTAAGAAATCATTTGAATATAACCGAAGATTTGATGTAATTTTTATCTTGAAGACCGTAAATAGAGAATAAAAATGGCTTGGGGATATGGTGTGTCCCTTGAGGCGCTGATGTCGAGAAGTGTTCTGTAGTGTAAATACAAATGAGTTCCAACTTCTTTTTTCAATTCCGCCTCACTTTTTCTCAAATGAATACTATTCAAAGTTCATCCAATTTAAATGGTAATGAAACATTTCATTCAGAATGCAATATTAGCCTCTTTTGTTTGTGTATAGCAAACGAAACGACAACAAATGAGAAAACTGTCTGCCGCCCAGGCACGTATTTAGGTCATAGCTGTAACAGGCTTCATTTTCGAGCTCTAAAGAAGTGACAATTACAATAGCCAGCTGTTATTTCATCACATAGTTGATGGCAGAAATAAGAGGAGGGGATGAGGGATAGATTGATTTATGTGAGTGAAAGGGAGAGCAGTACGCGTTACTGTGATCATGTTACCAAACCGAAGGTCTTTCCTTACATACGAAGGCGTTGGCCAAGACTTAGCCACCTTTTTAGGTATATAAAACTTAATAGTTTATACCTGAATACCTTCATAAAACCTAAATGCTTAAAATCTTTGATTTGCAACACCTAACAAGGAGCGTGTGCCATTCGATTGGTCAAATTTCAGGTCCAAGAAAATAATCGGGTAACTTAAAGTTAATAACCAGTGCACAATTTTGCATTTGAAAAGAAGTCGGTTTGTTCAGAACCCCCTGTTGTTCTGTGACAACATGCAACATTGCATGCACAGCACGTTGAATTACATGAAAAGATCCTTGGACAAAAATTAACTTTTTGGTCACTTCCGCGGTGTCTGTGAAAAGGAATCGAACACAGTCGAACCTCTATGAAGTGGCACAGTCTTAAGTCGTCCGAATGAATTAAGCGGTCGGTTGCCAAAGTCCCAAATTGGTGTCCCCTTTATCACTGGAATTTTCACCTCTATTCAGCGGTCGCGGTCACCCTTAAGTCTCAAAGGCCTCTTTGTATTATCTCCACCAGTATCTAACGGTCACTTAAAGCCGACTCACTCAAGTAAAGCTACGAATAATCTTTGAAGTAATTTTCAAGCCATGTTTCTCTCCCAAAATAAAAGGAAGTCGTTATTTTGAGCGAAATTCTTTACATTAAGTGGTCAACTACATCGCAAAGTGGCGTTGTTCATCGTTTTTTATAATACCCCCAAAGGTCACGCAACCACCTCTTCAAAAGAAGTGCTGCAAGGAAATATTGCGTGACATCTCAAAAAACTGCTTCTCGGTAGATTTTGCTTTTCTAATTTTGTTTACTTTGTTTTTTTCGTCTACTTTTCCCCTTTAATTTGAACCAAAAAATGTCACGTATATACTTCTAGCAATAACCTTGAAAAAAAACTAAGACACTCGTTCCCCCAGAGGAAAGCTGAAAGTTTCTTAATAAAAACGAATGACGCTGACTCCGTGTCAAGTTCAGTGTTGGCATACGACGGCATGATTCTGAGCGGAAAGATGCCTGAATCCATTCGTAACGAAATTGAATCCGATTTGAGCAGGCGAATCAATGAATTCTTTCTAACGGCTGAGTACAACACCTTTAACAATTCCAAATGCCAGCCCTCCTCACATAGTACGGATGATTTTTTTTCTTTTACACATTTTTATTTTTTCAATTTCATTTCAAAATTTTCCCAATTAGCTAGTCGAAACTTAGAACATTGTTACTAAAATAATTGTTTTAGATTCGAACGTAGACTCCTTGCTAATTAGGCACCTGTCAGCATATGAAAAGCGCTCTATCTTTCAGAGGCTGGTTGATCCCGAAATCAAACTCGCAGTCCATCACCTTACAATTCAGACGCGTCAAAAGGAACGTTACGGTGTCACAACGATTAAGAGTTTTCTCCGGTAGAGTAAACTTTTCAGTGAAAAAGTTTTCGGTGCTAAGTCCCCGTGTAAAATACTGCAAAAGATAGGATGTGCTTGTGACGTTATAATCACTTACCCTTTGATTGTCGCGTTAAACAGCACGTTCTCGATCGCTTATGAATCTACTCTAAAGCAGTGTAATTGCTTATCGAAACATTATTCCAACTTGCTCAGCAACGTTTGGCGATAACCGCTTATTTATGTCGATGATTCAATTGTTGATGGATATTCAACAGAGAGGTTGACTCCTTCACATGTGCAAATAGATATGAATAAAATTATCGAGGGAAAAGTTTGACATCCTTTCTCAGCTATGCGATATAACACAAAGAAAAAACTAACCAATGTAAGCTTGCTCTATTTGCTTGCTCCCTTTGCTTGCTCTATATGCTTTAACGGAAGTAACTTTCACAGAATTGATCAAAGAAATTGAACCTAGTTTACCTCCCTGTGCTACCAGGTTGTAATGAATTAGTTCTTGAATATGCGGTTAACCAATCTCAATTAAAAATCTTAAGGATCTACCTGAAGGCACAGACAAAAGCTGCTTATGTTCTATTCTTTCAATAATAAACATAACATTGTCGCATATTCATCCCTGTTTTGAATTACAACTGATTTAAAGAAGCAAATACTTTTTTTTGTGGGCGTACATCGGCTTTTCTTTTATCTCTAACGAGGAATTATATTTCATGCGTAACTGGCTAAAATCTGCTTTAAGTTTGTTTTCTTCAAAAATAAAGGGTTGATATGTAAATATTCCAAAACAATCTCAAAAATCTCCTTAAAAACTGAAAAAAAGAACTGATAAAAACGTCTTTCCGTACTTCTGTCCGATACTATTATGCCGTGAAAAAAATGTTGGAAGATTCTTGCTCCAACGGTCTTGAGAACGGTTTTTTTTCTTATTAATTAAACAACGAGGCAAGCAATCAGCATATCAATCGGGAATCCTTTCCAATATTGAATGTAAAAGGAAAGATGTCTAGATTATAACTTAATACATTGTTATTTACTTTTCTTTTTGAATTCTAAATTGACTTTTCAAGAAGAAAGAAATTCATGCCCGCAGTTTCTTCTTCCAACACTCTTGAATCAAAAAATCTTTATGGAAAACTGTCAGATATATCGTGTTTATCATTTGCACTCTAACTTTCAACAGGACACGGACTTTCTTTACACAGTGATTGAGGTAAACAATTAGAACTCTGCAAGCCTTTTTTGCTAATCTTCAGGAAAGGAAATTGATACGCAGGCATGATTAAATAAAACACAAGTGGACAAAATACATATCTACGAGCTTACGCTGTAGACGGAGAGTACGACCTGTGTGGTGACATATTTGAAATTATAAAATGACCGTAAATATCGCAATTAACACTGAAATGAGAGTTACATATGATTTTTTATCTCGTTCTTTTTCTCCTAAAACTTTTGCATACCTTTCTGCATGTTTATTCTTGGATAACGTCGAACTTGTAAGGGATGAATTCAAGTTGATGATTTTAGGAAAAAAGGATAAGTTGTCAGCACTGAGTTATTTTTATCTTACAAAGCTGTTACTTACTCAGTCTGTTACTGATGCTTTTTGTAGTTTATGAAACTCGAGATGACCAGCTTTCCAATCTCGCCGAAGTTTCATTTAAACTGAGAACTTTTCCAGCCAAGTAGGACGGACGGAACTTTTTTTCAGAAACATGGCTATATTAAGAAAAAGCACTTTTAAATTTCTCACATGCTGAGCATTGATTGACTATAGTTTCGCACCTCCGTTTCAGCACGTGCCTAAAACGAAATACACGTTTTTAGAGGGAAAGCCGTCTACAAAGAAAAGTATCATAATCAATTTCTTGAAAATAACTAGCGGGTTCGCACATCTCTGTTGGAAATGTAAATTTCGAAATTTCTGAGACCGAAATAACATCAGTCAAAATAAAACTAAAAACTCAATTTGGTTTTCATTTTGCCAGATTCGAACCTTCTCGTTTCACGTTCTTTCTGATCTTGTGTTTCTGTTATGGATAAACATAATCACCAACGTATTCGTCGATTTCTTTTCAATACTTCTTTTATACAAGTGATTTACGAGCAACATACAGCTTTCGTATGGAAAGAGACTACGAAATTAAGTTTCGAATCCGTAAGAATCTTCCCTGAGTTACGTACCGTTCAGTTTATTGCCTAGGGTTAAAACACAGAGTAAAATAGGTTCGTTACTAAGATTAGAAACTGTTTCCAGTTATCTTTGAAGGAATGCTGTGATATGATTGGTACGAGATACATCGGTGCGAACGAAATACCACTTTATACGCTGACACAGAGTAATCAAATTTTTTTTTATTATCCAAAAAATAGCATTAAAGAAATCCCCTCTTTTCCCTGCTGTTTGCTAACTGTTGCCTTATTTGTTTAGCCTTTGACAGCCTGAAATGACTGCAGATCCTATATAGTGTTCTCTCTTCATTCCCTATGATGCTGATTGATTTTATATTCATTGTTCCTTTTTTAATTGTTTATTTATAAGTTTAAGATTTCTTTATTTCTTGTTTATTTTTCTGAGAAAACTTATTCATTTCATTACTAATGACAATCATATGATACATAATAAGACGTCGAAGCTTTAAAAACTGCTTCCTTCTTGATGATCAGGTCCTTCATAGACATCGCAACGATGACACTGTTTCCAAATATATGACTTTCATATATTCTTAACCGTACACTGTTTCCTTGTTGATAACAAGAAGATGAATAGACACCGCAAATTTTGAACTGCTTCCGAGCTAATAAACACATGATGCAGTGACATCACAACTTTTAAACTGTTTTCTTGTTGACAAACACGTCATGCTATGACACCACAACTTTTAAACTGCTTTCTTGTTGACGAATACATGATGCATTGACACCACA